TTTTCGGTGAGAACAGCTCATTGTCGAAAACACACGGACATATTCATAAGCAGTATTGACAAAAGTTGTCACAAGACAAAAGCAGTTTCACTGCGTGTTTGACATCCTAACACAACTGAACAATAAAGAGGTGTGAATATTTTTAGGCACGTCGTCGAAACAAATGAATAGGATTAGGAACAATGTACCAGCTCGTTGGAACAAAGTCGGTCACGGTCTTGTTGAATTGGGGGTGCGGTTACTAATAGGTACTTTTCATGTTTTCAATTTTTGTTGAGAACTCTTTAACACTGAAGCCGAAATCGGGGGTGCGGTTACTATTAGGTATGCGGTTTATAATAGGATTTTAACGGTACATTGTCAATGTGCAAGTAAAGAAAGCACTATAATGGCCACCCCCAAGATCAGTTTGCAGTTATTTTATACAGATGTGTGTGAAACTCGCAGATTATGATGTCACCCACATTCGTATGTTAAATGGCTGAAACTTCCAAAGTGATTATTACATTACTGGCTATGAATCATGCTTTGTGGCTTGCATAAATTATTAGAATGGCAAAATTCCTATTTCCTATAAGTCCCATAATGGTAAACTTTTAGAAGTGATTCAAACTTTGGCTAACACGTGCTCACAAGTTTATCAAGTTCTTCACAACAATGTTAAAATTATTCTTTTAAGTACTAAATCCAATTACACCACGATCACACCAGAGTCAGGACTACATAGTAAAAACATCAACCACCCATCCTAGTTACTACTTGATAATCATGAGCAGCAGTGTGGGGAAAACACTGCTACACTGGATATATGACAGTATTATATTGTGATACATATCACTGTTTAACTATGCTAGTACCTAACAGTCATGACAATTAAGGAATGTAACCAGTTTTGAACAGGCCTAAGCAGCATAGTAAACACTCGAGTTACTGACCTGCTTATCTTTAGGAACATCATATGACTTAAAGATATCCTCCATTATATGTGCTGGTGATTCGGCAAGCTGAAAACACAAATTATAAATATGAATAAATGGAACCTAGACTATAACGATTATGAATGAACTGCAAAATTTACAGTCATGCGTTTTTCACCACATGTTTTGAGACATAATCAATACGCATTGTTTTTCATGTATAATACGAACATGCACAATAAATATTATTAAAGAATTATTTATACATCTATTGCAGCAATTGGGCAAGGTTACTTTTTAAATCATAGAGTTGACCTTTTGTTTCTAAGATTTTGCAGCTAACAAAAACACTGTGGAACATTGATATATGTAGAATTAGTTACAAGCAGATGTTTTACGGATCAACTGAGACCATAAAGACTACAGTCAAAACTACACTGACAACTGATACATGTCAAATAACTGTCACTGTAGTTAAAAAGGGTGACAGAATATGTTGATGAGCCTGAATTCCGAAAAATGCACAGGATACAGTATATTTCAATGTATACCTTATCTACATTATCCAGGTGAATTACACATATTGTATTTCCCACAGATTTCTTTGCACTTTTCGCATCTTTGCACTCAGTATAGAATTCAAAATGCAAGGTTGTTGCACTATTAGGATATTCCTGGGAAAAAAAAATGATATAGAATAAATCAACAGAATCAACAAGTAAGCATGTATACATTGCAGTTATACGATGAAGAGGTAATCCACAAAGACCTTCCGTAACAGATCAAAGAATAAAATATACCTCAATGGGAAGATCTTGACAGCACTGAGCTAAACCAAAACCATTATCTTTGCCACCCCAACTCTCTGCTAAGAAAGATAACCTATTCAACAAAGCTGCTCTCTTGTCTGCTGCCAATTTCACTATAAAATTAGATCTCTTGCTGCAAGAACAAAATTAGTCAAATATGTCAACACATAGTACACAAACCAAACTATTTAATTGATGTATGAAGTTTATATATTACCGATAAAATCAATAGAGATTTAGAAATAGGTTGAAAAAAGCTATGCTAGCCAAATCAGTTATTTCAATTTTAACAATTTATAACTTTCAGTTCAGCATATACATATATAAAGATTGATGCCACAGAAAAGGATCCACATACCTGAAAACATAGACTAAATTGAGAACAGCCAAGACAGTATGCATGTCAGATGAAGATAGTAATGCGGTCAAATGCTGTAGAGATATAAAAAAAAATTATAATATGATATATAATGTAATAATCACAATGACTCAAAATAGAATACCATAATTTATGTTATGTAGTACAATATATAAAGCAGATACTGGGACGCTGATGACAACTAGCAATGTATGAAGACATCAATTCTGGTATTTGATAAATAACCAAATTTTTCTAAGATGGCAAAGGGAAAAAAGTTAAAAATTTAACTTTGATTCATTCTCTGAAAGTTACTAAGCATGCTTCTAAAATATCTTGTATATGCGATCAACCATGCAAATTTCTGCTCAAGAATATTTATATTATCTTTGAAAACATTAGGACCTTGATGCATGTAATTTGATTCAAAAGTTAAAAATGGCAGAATGGTAGGCATTTTGTTTTCCAAAAAATGCAGTTCCTGATCCATATATTCAAGATGCCAAGTTCAAACTTTACACATACATTAGATATTTTATCGAGCAAGCACACATGTCACCATTAAATAAAAAATGGCTGACTAGCAGAATCATGTTTAAATGAATGCCATTCCACAGAGCCATATCTCATACATGCTTGGTCTATAAAGTTTAATCTTCACACAAGCATAACACATTAGGTCATATATATAATATGTGTGAACAAATCTATGATCACAAGGAAAACACTAACTTATCTGTACATTCTGCCTACATTTATTAAACACACCAACCTTATACAGCACATTCTTAGCACTAATAATACAGTAAAACCTACCTCCATAGAATTATACAGATGTCTTGAGAAACTGTGTTCAATCAGCAATGCTGTAAAGTACAGCATGCTGTGAAGCAATTGCTTCAACTGGAAAAAAATATATAGTATTTTGCACATAAATAAGTATACTCGACTGTCAGAACTAAAAAGATTTACACATCATTCATTTACATGGTACTAGTGTATTAGCGAGGGTTGACTCAACCCGTTTCATGTTGAAAAATGGTGTACATCAAGATACATGTCATATACTAGTAGACAAAGATAATTTATCTTTTTCAGAGTGTGGGAAAATAGAATAGAAGTCCTCAATACTGCTATACTCAAAATAGTACAATATATATATATTCCAATAAGTTTAAAGTATCTTTCTTTTTTTAATTTGAAATTTAAATTGTCTGCTTTCAGAGAACTGAAGTTTTAGCAATGTTTGCATTATTGTCTCACCTTTAGATTTTCAGCTTTATCACATGGTAAAATCCAGGTGGAACTGGAGATAGTTTTACATGCTGCATCCATATGGCATCAAACTTGTCAGTATATCATCCAGTGATATATTCACACTAG